TCCATGCTTAATTACTCTATGACGTTTGCAGGTTGATCGAACAGTGTATTCAGGGCGGTGACATTTGCCATGAGATTGGAATATCATCGCACGAAGCAGGCGAACGCGGCCTTAAATTGTTATGCGTAGGTGAAATTACATTTTAACTGGTCCAATGTTTCTACAGTGTTGTTTTGTGTCTTTTCAGATGCTATCGTATGTTTTTTCGGCTCATTTCTTTACGGATACCTCGTTGCGACATCTTATTGCGCTTTTAAGTTATGAGCAAGAATATGTAGCACCGTTGGTGCTGAAAACACTGACACATTTGGGTCGTTATCAGCCGCTTATTGACGATGCCAATCCAGCTATAYTGAATGAACTGGCACCTATTTGCAARGACTTTGCGCTTATGGGTACACCCAAGCAGGCCAAGCATGCAGTGCGATGTATCTTTGTTAATAGTCAATCATCATCCACGGCCACTACGGATGGCGGCGGAAGCGCCTCGACCACAACACAAACAGTGCATCCCATTTTCAATGAAATCATTGAGGAACTGAGAGTTAAACTAGCACCCAATTGTGAATATCAGCGAACTAAGATTGTTACATTGGGGCACATAGCGTACAATATGCCACAGGCATTCCTTACGCCCATCAAAAACATGATAGCGAGGCGCATTGTCAAGGAGCTGCTTATACAAGAAGTGCCAGCGCAACGGGATCACGAACTGCCCGAAGGCGACTGGTGCGAACAGGATGAACTGCCGCCGGACACACTCTGCAAGTTAGATGCTCTTAAGACGATGGCACGCTGGCTGCTTGGCTTACGGTCCGACGAGCATGCAGCCCAGAAAACCTTCCGAATGTTGGCGGCCTTTGTTAATCAGCGTGGTGATTTGCTAGCTCAAAATAGATTGTGCGGTGCTGAAAAGTCGTGGYTGCGTCTTGGCGCCGCCTGTGCAATGCTTAAGGTGTGCGAACAGAAAGGCGTTGGCGATCAATACAGCGCCGAGCAGTATTTACAGCTCTCTCAGCTGATGGTCAGTACCT